TTCGAAGTTGTTTAACATAGTGAATCATAAAAAAAAACCACCGGCGCGCTTTACATGAGTACTATTTCCATCACGGAAACGGCTGCTTCGTTTTATATATTAGCTTTCAAATATCTCGGAGAGTTTTTCTAAGCCTTTCTGCCCCAACCATTCACGCACAAAGAAAGCTCTTTTATTTTTTTTTCCCTTAAACTCTTGAAACGATACATCGCTTGTTTCTCTTCTACGTGCGAGCTGATCACAATGGCGGGAAGCAATTTTTTATAGAAAAATACTGTAGGGTAGGGAAGTGATGGAGCGAAAACCGCACACATCTTTTTAAAGCATAGGTATTAAACATGTTTTTTTAAAGAAATATTTAAAGCTATCAAAATAGGCATATTTTCTAATGAAATATTGAAAAAGCAACGACATTAACCGCTTCTAGAAGAATTGACAAATGCCCCATCCCCGGGCAGAGGTTTTCTGACAAATCCCCACCGCCGGGACCGACAAGTGCCCGACGACAAATGCCCGGGGAAGGAGGCGGGGGTGGGTACTCTTGGAATTAACTGAGCCATTACTGTACTCGCTCAAGAGCACAGGAAGTTAAAACGGCGCTGCCGACGCATAGATTTCACCTGATTTAATGCCACAGATTACGTGGGGTATAAAGTACCAGGGGGTCTTGTTTCATTTTATATACCTACCCACAGATGAAAGAGTGACATGTGCTCGTGACCTGTGAGAGAAGGTACCCCCATTTGGGTCGGAAACGTAATCGTGAATTACAGTTGAACCACTCTCTCCTCCGCAGAGGCCTCTGTGTCGTAGGGAGGCTGGGGCGAAAAAGAAAAATAGATAGCGCGCGGGGCACGAAAGGCAGAGCTGCGGAGCCGAGAGGAACCTCGATAACTCGAACTCGGATAACTCGAATTCTCCGCTAACTCCAACTAAATTTCATTTCCTTTGATCAAAATTTCACTGAAATTTACCCCGATAACTCGAACTGCTTTCCGTTTCCCTTCAGAGCTTGAGTTACCGGGGTTCCACTGTAATAAACAAATCGGGCACATTATTTAGCTTTACATGTAGTAGTTCTAGAAATGCTTTCCGCCGGAGAAGAGGAACGAGGGCTCAATAGTTTCACGCGGAAGTGCGGAAATGGCCGCAGAAGAAGATCATGATGATTTGAGCTTATTTCACCTGGCCACTGCAAAACTATCCGATGCCCAAAAACTTACTGATGAAGCTCACGACTTGTTGAAGCAGGACCTTGAAAAGGTCAGGGAAGAAAAATCGAATTTTGAAAAGATGATCAAAACACTAAATCAGGTCCACTTTGCCAGCACCGTCAAGTTAAACGTCGACGGAAAGATATACAAGACAACACTGAATACACTGCGAAAGGACCCGAATTCCATGCTGTGTGCGATGTTTTCTGGGAGGTATGAAGTCAAAGCTGACGAGGAAGACGGAGCTTATTTTATCGACCGCGATGGTAAACCATTCCGGTAAGTAGGTTAAGTGGCATCAGTGACAAAATGAGTGGAAGTCGTGTATATTTGTGACCTTAAAACTAGTCTCGTCACGCAACACTCTTGAAAAAGTAACGATCCGATCGTGTGGCCCTTCTTTCCCACAACAATACAAAAAAAGGGAAATTTATTAAAATAGTCGGTGGGAAAATGCATTTGGGAACGGTGTAAGGGAGATTTGGAAAACTGAGTGTCCCACTGCTTTATGTTGTGACTCATTTTCAATCATAAATTTACAACAAAAAAAAAGTGGCGGAATAATATTCATAAATATTGCAGCTTCAACATTCATCTGCATACTCTGTTCAGTTAATTAAAACTTTCCTTCTTCTTTTAAGAGAGAACTTTTTCCCCAATTAAGGTACATCTTGAACTATCTTCGAAACGGCGAATTTCGTTGTCCAAAAGACAGAATAACTCAAGAAGACCTGCTTTCAGAGGCGAAGTTTTATCAGGTGCAAGGAATAATCGATCAGCTAGAACAAGCAATCTTCCCCTTAGCATCGTCCGTAATAAAGAACAAAGATCACCGTTTTGCCATTATGTCATGGCTACCTGAAGGTGCAGCTTGTTCGCTGTTATACCTAGCTTCTGCTGATGGTAAAACTGCTAAGGACTTTCATCGCTGCTGTGATAACAAAGGCCCAACTCTCGTGGTGATAGAAAGTGGAGAATATATCGTTGGTGGATTCACCTCGAAGTCTTGGTTGTCACCCAGTAAGTGGTTGATCTGAGGTAGTCTATAGCATTTTCTCTGTCGCTCTCTTTTGCACATTTTGCTGAGCAAGTGGGCGACATTTTTTTAAACTCAAGTTTAGATACCGTAAACTTCCTATTATAACCCCCCACTTATAAGCCCCTCCGAACATAACCCCATCGAGCATCTTTTAAAAGAATTCGACTTTTTACGATGTTTTAAAGCCGCAGTAAAAAAGCGATCAAATTCAAAAAGCATTTTGATCACGAAAGAAGCGTGAGAGTTACGCCTCGAGCAACTCTAGCTTCTTAAATGCTCTCCAAACTTCCCAAGTGCACCACATATCCAAGAAAAACGCTTTCTTATTCATTAACTGCGAAATTCTCCTAACGCGCGGAACAGAAACAGCTTCTTTTGACTGGTTAAAAATACTCTACAATAGTCTAGTTTGAAAGAATATTTTTTTTCTAAAACTGACAGTGAAAATTTACTTATTTAGTTGTTAATGATCAATGGAATCTAGGCAGAAACAAAGGTATAAGAGTCTTAGGGCCTGTTTACATGGAGTGGGGGACCCCGGTCTAGTGGGGTTGGTTTCTTTTGTTTTCACGCTCTGGGGGACAGAAAACAAAAGAAACTTACCCCACTAGACCGGGTTCCCCCACTCCATGTAAACAGGGTCTTAAAGTCCTCCTAAAGTTAACTCAGATGTTCGAAAGAAGACGTGGAGTATGGTTTTGATTCGTTAGAAAGATGTTTATGTTTTGCTAGGCGAAATCCAGGAAACCTTTTTTTTTTCTAGTGTTACGCCTCGAGCGTTACCCTAGCTTCTTGAGTGCTCTCCAAACTTCCCAAGTGCACCAAATATATAGCCAAGAAATACTTTTTAGCCCACGATCGCATTAAGGCTTCTTCATTCCTTGTAAGGACTTGTAAAACAGCAGGTTTCGGAATGCTCAATCTCTTAGGATCTTAGCTTCTTGTTACTTTTTGACGTTTTCTGGAGTGACTTGGAATAAATGTTCGTGCAGATTCTTTAGATACTCCATCGTTTGAGCTTTCACTATTAGGTGAAGCTCATGACTGAGTAGACATACTAGACAATTCGACCTCGCAAGACTTTTCATCTTTTTCCATTAAAATGTTGACAGAACCTTTCTCAAATTGAACGATACGCTGTATCACTCTCAAAAGGATAGATTTTGATTCGTACCAATTTAAACAAAAACAACATTTTGTTTTTTTTAAAAAAAAAAAAAAAAAAAAATTTTTCCCCCAAAAAAAATTTTTTTGGAGAACCCTAGGGCGGTGTAAAAAACAAAAAAAGCCCGGGGGTTAAAAAAACCCCCCCCCCCCCCCCCCCGCATCTGTCATTTTGTTTTGGAAAAGCTGCAAATGCAGCTAAATGCCCCACTGTGGGGCTTAAATATAGCTTACAAATGCCCCACCTCGGGACAATTTTAATTGCATTTTCCAGTAAATAAGCTGCAAATACCAATCTGATCAAACTCGTACGTGAAGCAACCTACGCAAATTGCTCCTAGACGCTAGTTATGATTATTGCAAAAAAGATCACAGTCATTGATCTGATTGATCTCAAAGACAGACTCATAAATTAGAATTTTAATAATGCCTCTCTTATTTTCGAAGTTGTTTAACATAGTGAATCATAAAAAAAAACCACCGGCGCGCTTTACATGAGTACTATTTCCATCACGGAAACGGCTGCTTCGTTTTATATATTAGCTTTCAAATATCTCGGAGAGTTTTTCTAAGCCTTTCTGCCCCAACCATTCACGCACAAAGAAAGCTCTTTTATTTTTTTTTCCCTTAAACTCTTGAAACGATACATCGCTTGTTTCTCTTCTACGTGCGAGCTGATCACAATGGCGGGAAGCAATTTTTTATAGAAAAATACTGTAGGGTAGGGAAGTGATGGAGCGAAAACCGCACACATCTTTTTAAAGCATAGGTATTAAACATGTTTTTTTAAAGAAATATTTAAAGCTATCAAAATAGGCATATTTTCTAATGAAATATTGAAAAAGCAACGACATTAACCGCTTCTAGAAGAATTGACAAATGCCCCATCCCCGGGCAGAGGTTTTCTGACAAATCCCCACCGCCGGGACCGACAAGTGCCCGACGACAAATGCCCGGGGAAGGAGGCGGGGGTGGGTACTCTTGGAATTAACTGAGCCATTACTGTACTCGCTCAAGAGCACAGGAAGTTAAAACGGCGCTGCCGACGCATAGATTTCACCTGATTTAATGCCACAGATTACGTGGGGTATAAAGTACCAGGGGGTCTTGTTTCATTTTATATACCTACCCACAGATGAAAGAGTGACATGTGCTCGTGACCTGTGAGAGAAGGTACCCCCATTTGGGTCGGAAACGTAATCGTGAATTACAGTTGAACCACTCTCTCCTCCGCAGAGGCCTCTGTGTCGTAGGGAGGCTGGGGCGAAAAAGAAAAATAGATAGCGCGCGGGGCACGAAAGGCAGAGCTGCGGAGCCGAGAGGAACCTCGATAACTCGAACTCGGATAACTCGAATTCTCCGCTAACTCCAACTAAATTTCATTTCCTTTGATCAAAATTTCACTGAAATTTACCCCGATAACTCGAACTGCTTTCCGTTTCCCTTCAGAGCTTGAGTTACCGGGGTTCCACTGTAATAAACAAATCGGGCACATTATTTAGCTTTACATGTAGTAGTTCTAGAAATGCTTTCCGCC